GCGCCACCGCGTCCCCCATATACCAGCTAGCATATATTAATAAGTAACAAACTTTATGTGGGGGAAACACACGAGAGTGCTTAAGAAATAGCTTTATAATATCAAATGCAGATCAGATATTCTACTGGTGGACATTTTACGGCAGGTAGTCACATTGAAAGAGTTGTATTTTTGAGCAATGGAAAGAATGGCCTTGGGAAATGAAAGGAAACTGATTTAAAAAAAAAAAAGAATTTTGTTCTACCTAAACACTCTAAGTCCAGCATAATTAAAGGAAGAGACAAATTTTTTTCCACTTCTGCAAAGAATTTTCTGGCGCTTTGAGAATATCCCCTTAGCCAATTGTTGAGGGTAATAGTTGGTATGAGGTCATGTATCTAAATGCAATTATAATATAATATAGGGGGAAACTGAACAGCATTTTTCCTAAATGGAATTTGAAAAACAGGCAATGATTGAAATGTGATATCACTTTGCATGTAAGAATTTAATAGAAGTATGCCTTTCGACAACTTAATTGTGCTATAAACACACTTGCTATATTTAACTTTTCTAAAGACTACGGTAATTAATTATTTTAAAACCTACTATTGGCATTTGTGAAATTGCCCTGAAGAGCCCAGTTTGTGGGCAAAAATGTATACATTTTTTAAAAAAAAGAAATAATGTATTTTTCACCTGTCATCTTTGTCCCAGTTATTTTTTCCACATTTGAAGATTTTTTGTTTCTATGATTTTTAAACAACTAATCCATTAAGTGCATATGTCATACCAGGTAACTATTCCACTGTTACGAATAAATTATCTTAGTACAGGGGTAACAACATATATGCGGAGCTGCCAAAAATAGCTTATATTTTAAGGACTGCCCTTACTCCGGGAAGTTAGATTTCATTATATATATAGTTGACGTCCTTTAGTTTCTACAAAGAACAAAGCTATAAATACTCTTCATGAGTTAACTGAAACAAAAAGTGTCCTGTACATTCAAGGACTGCTTTTTTCCAAGGCCAATTAATCTTTTGGTTTTCAGCTGAAGAAAAAGCAAATATTTTCCCTCTTCACTCTTATCTCCAATATTAACTCAGTAGGAAATCTCAGGCACCTCTCTGACTCTGCCCCACTCTCACCATATACAGAGCTCCCTTAAGATCATGTGATATAGGAGACATTTTGAAGAGTTTACTTACAAATACTAACAGAATAATCACATGCATTTCACTGTGTTCATTAAGGATCACTGTCTAGCAAAGGTGTTTAGGATTATAATCCAAGTTATAAATGAATAGTAATTAATTACTGTATGAGTTTTAAACCTTATTTTCAGTATTTTAAAAATCAGTAATTTATGTATTGCATTAAAAATGGTGCTCCTTACCTCCATTCATGGCATCAATTCTGATCTTAAGTTGATTTGGCCCTGTTAGCAAGCCTCTAATAGCACTGAAATCAAAGATGGTCCGCAGAAGATTAAGGTAAACTTCCACAGAGTCTACTATTTCAACTGGGCACAAAAGATCAAACAAAGAATGTAAGTCAGGACGCTGAACTGTGCTTAGTTATAAATATACACCAAATAAAAATGACTACTACAAAAACTTTATCACCAAGTAACTGAAAATCTATGTCACAAACACTCTGGGAATCAACCCAGCACCTTTATCAAAGAACACCTCTCAATTTGACAATTCAATGTCCATAGTATAATTTTTGTTAGGGTTGTCTGAACCATTTGAAAGAGCAAAGTTGCTCAACACTTCAGCAGCAGAATCAGTGGAAGTATCTTCTGTTCATGTACATGTACATGCATGCCCAGGCAACATAATAAGGTCCCTGGAATGATTCTCTAAGAATACAGTCCCTCAATGTTTTATTGTACCTTAGAGGGTTACTTTACAAAATGTCCCACTGAATGTTTTTGCTCAGCCATAATTTCTACCTGGCACTATCAACTCTGAAGGTGACTATTATCACCTTTTTGGATATTAAAGGAATAAGCAAGAGGAAAACTTAAGACCAGCCATGTTTAATAATGTCAGACTGATAAGGGCACAAGCAAAGATAGGTTTATAACTTAATAAACTTACTATGTTGCTTCCAAAACGGTTGGCACACAATAGAATAAAACAAAATATCAACAACATATGGAAAAGTCTGGAATAAAAGCATGTATTTAAAAAAAAAACTCTATAAAGGGACTACGTGGCTCAGTAACACAACGACCACAAAAATCCATCATCAATTCAGCAAAGTAAAACAAAGGCTGCAGAATGAGAAACTGTAATTCCAACTTGTGCTTTAAGCTTAAAAGTAAAATGCCTGAAGAAAAAGATCTAAAATGGGAATGCTAAGCTAACAAGAACCAGGGAAATACAGAAAGTTAGAGATCTGGGTTGAATCTCAGTCACAGCCAGAATAAGGTCATTATCAATATGGTACAGCCTTTACAGTACTAAAGTTTATGTGAAACCTTCAACTCTCAAGGGTACCTCCCCCCCAGCCCAGATTGAAAAGGTACATAATTAACTGTTAATAATTATTGTTATAACGGAACTTAACAGCTGGGTAACAAGGTAAAATCCACATTCCCATTGTGGATTTCCTGTTTCAGTTCTAAAATACTACTATACACCAACTTTTTTAAGGGAAGTTTTTAAGTTTTAATTGCAAATTCCCACTATGGAAAAGAAGTCAATACCCCGGAAAGGCTTGAATTTATTCTCCAGATCAAACTCCTGTCTTCCCAACCGAGATAAATCAATTCTCAAATCAGGGCAAATGGCATACTCTTCAAGGGTTTTGCTGATCTGGTAAATTTTATCAAAAATAACATCTGGAGCTGGACCTGAAAACATAATATGAACATAAACTGTATCAATTCTTGAATATGCCCACAAAAACAGGGTTTAAAGGTCTCTTAAACACAAAATAAATTTGATATATTATTATAATGAGACACACAATAGGTATAAATTAACATAACAATATTTTAGCAGTGTATGCATGTTCTGTTAGAGGCATTCGTGGTCTCTGAAATCCTTCAGCTAGAACTGATCTGAGTGTCTGATGAAAAATCAGATTAAACTCCTTGGGTTTAATGGCTCAAAAATATTAATTAATATTAATTTTCTCAATCTAAGGCAATTTTGCACAACATTTTGCAGCCAATGGACAAATGTAGAATTTTGAGATCTTGCAGTGCTCTCACAAAATGGCTACCACATTCTACATGGAGAGTAACACATTCCATTTACCAGAGGAAAAACTGGTGAGAATGTTCCTTGTCACCCCTTTTTTCCACATGAGATGCATTCTACCAGTTACCATCTATTAACTTTCAGAGGAAAAGATGGGTACACTTCCAAACTGGGCTGCAGACAATACTATTGTCTTCCTTGAAAAGCTTTTGAAACCCCATTGCATTCTTGTAAATAAAACAAATGATAGAGAATAAAGCTTTGCAGCATATCAGATTTCTATTTATTTATTTATAATTAAAAGAATATTTTAGATAAATGAAATCTGTTGGGACAGGAAACTGTGTAGATATCAACAGAGGTGTCTGTGAGTACTGTATCACACTGCTTATCCCTGGTCTAATGCCTGTAACCAAGGGGGATGAAAACACATCTATTCAAAGATTTTAAATCCAAAAACAAATAATTGGAAAAGTCTACAAGCCTTTTAAACATTGTTTAAAAATACTGTATTTAAATCTAAGAAGTCTTAGAATATAGACAAATTATTTTTGAAATTTTATATGATTATAGAAAGTCTCTGTGACAGGCAAATTACTTTTCCTTTCAGACACTGGGCTTTTTTAAAAAATCAGAGTTTGTAATAAGATGCATCACAACAACTCTTACCTCCATTGGCAATGTTAAACTTCACTCCAAATTCTCCTCCAGGTCCTCCAGGACAGTGACTAGCTGTGAGAATGATCCCACCAGCAGCTTTGACCTTTCTGATAATGCATGACACAGCAGGGGTAGATAAAATGCCATTCTGCCCAATAACCAATCTTCCAATCTAAATGCCAGGGGGAAAAAAAAAGCAATATATCTGGTTGCTAGTACATGATTCATTTATTAAACAGTATTTCATATTTTAAAGACGGGAGAGCTTAGTTCCAAATATGATCATATTGCTTGCCATCCAAACTGCACAGCCAATATTTTAAGCCATTAAATATGATAAAACAGCAAGGATTTTCAGCTGATTGTTCTGATCAATAAAGGAGATCTTCATGTAAGTTTTATTCATGCACTGCTGATGCACATCTGCATCTATTTCATATATATATATATATATATATATATATATATATATATA